TAAAAGAAGGAAGTCTAGGAATTTTCTCCATTTTTTAATTTTTATTTTTTTAATTCTATGTCATTTTTGAAACAACCAATTAGATGTTCTCCTTCTCCATAAAAAAGTTACCTAATCTTTCTCTCTCTCCCTCTCGCACACATTTCCAATAACCTAAGTATATGTTTGGCATCGATGTTGCAGATGCAACGGTGCAGCTGATGTGTGGTTGAAAGCACCGTTTTCTTAGAAAAATGGTGTCTTTATTTTTGTTTGGAATCCTTGCTGCCAAGTAGGACGTTTTCTGGAGCAACAACAACTTTTTTTGTTTGATACCATTGCTCTAGGAAACATTTTCAGCACTGGTACCCATTATCTAGTGCCACATCACTGCCCTATTGGTAGCAACGAGCTGCAGCTAGCGTTTCTCCAAGCCATGGCTTCCTGATTTCAGAGGCATGGCTTGGAGCACCGTTTTTTATGGAAAAACAGTTTCAAACAAATGCCTGTTTTCTGAAGCACCATTTTCTTCGATGTGGCGCTGATGTGGCATCATTGCTCCAAGAAACGACAACGATGCCAAACAGCCGCTAAATAATCTCCTCTCCTAAAGTTTCTCCTAAACTACCTCCCCCATTGTCCCCCACTTTCTCCTAAATTATCTCTAATTCCTATTTATCTGTTAAATTATCTCTAATTTCTTTTTATCTCCTAAATTATCTCTAATTTAGTAGACTGTTTTTCTCCTAAATTATCTTTAATTCCTATTTATCCTCTCCCCCACTTTTTATCTATATCTATCTAAAGAAAGTTTGAATTAAAAATTCAGAATTATTTAAATATTCTAACGAAATTATATAATAAATTTTAAAATATTTATTAAAAACAAAAAAAATAATTCTAATAGATTTAATCATATTCATAATATTAATAATTTTATATTTCTACAAAATTCATGAAAAAATTATGTAATAACAATATAAATTATGATTTCCAGATTATTCAATTTAAATGTTATTCAAATAAAAAAATTAACATTAAAAGAATAAAATATTATTTAAATATTTCAATAACTAAATATCTTAAATAACAAAATATTAAAAATAGATAAATAATTATATAACAAAATATTTAATATTATGTAATAGCTTTAAATTAAATAAAATTCAAATAATAAAAAATTTTAAATATTTTACATATTATTTAATATTTGAATAAGTGAATATTTAAATAATGAAATATTTAACATAACTGGATTTTAAATAGTTAATAAAGAAATATGTAAAACATTAAAAAAAATTCTTAAAAGTAGAAAAATAATTATAACATAATATTGATATTAATAATAATTTAATACTTTACAAAATTAATTAAATTCAATAAATAATAAATATTTTAAAAGTTAAATAACGATATTATTTAAATAACTAAATAATATTGTAAATAACTAATTTCACTTATATGAATTAATAATATTGGATATTAAACTATTGTTGTTTATTAGAGATTTGACTATCAATTTAGCTAAAATTAGGAGTGTTAATGGGTTGGTTCGGTTCGGTTGTAAGTTGTTTGGCCAACCAAATTGACCTGGTCAAGTTGGGAAGTTGGTCACCCGAAACTGACTAACCATTTATGAAACTTGACCCACTCAGGTTGTATCGGTTTAGGTCAATTTTTGGTTTGGTTAGTCTGTTCAAAAGATTTAAACTTAAAAATTAAATTCAAATTTTAAAAATTACAATGGAATTATTAAAAAATATATTTAAAAATTAAATTTATGATATAAAACATTTTAGACTAAGAAACATGGGGATTTTCCCACTTTCTCATATTAAAAATTATATTTAAAATATAAAATATTAATATATATCTATGGTTAGGTCATTTGATTTTTGTTAGTTTACAAATGGCCAAAGCGAAAATGATCCAACCTGGTCGGGTTGGGAAATTATTGAACCAAAGTCAAACGGAAATACTAGAAAACCAACCAACATGATAAAGTTGATTGGGTTGGTCGATGTCATCAGTTTGATGAACAACCATAGCTAAAATTAATTATTCTTATTTTTGTATTATAAAAAATTTATTAAAAGTAGCATATAAAATATAAATAATTATTAAATATTTAAATAATAAAAAATATAAAATAATTATATACTCTTATATATTTCTATTATTTACCTTCGCTTAACAAATTCCTACGCATCAACGGGTCCCCACTAGTTACTACTATAAAGTAGAGCTTAATATGAGATATCACAGGTCAAATCTATCGTACTACTATCCCTCATGAGATCCAACAATGGAAAGGTAAACTGGTAAAAAAGTTAGCTTTTGAAGAAGCATTATTAAAAAAAATTAAAAAATTTGAAAAACAGTAAAAATTGTTTTAGGGGAACGGTTCGAACAATTAACCAGCCGGTTCAGTGGTTTGCTGACCAAAATCAATGGTTTTGGGGGAAAAAGCAGGTTTGGGGAAAAACGGAACCGGTGACTGGTTCCTGGTTTTTCCGGTCCGACCGTCCGGTCCGGTCTGGTTTTGAAAACCATGTGTGGTGGGCTGATTTGAACTCGAAGAATTGCTTCAGCGCACGGATGGATCCAGATCAAATGTGTCACTACTTTTGAAGCACTGGCCAATTTGAAGTAGTTTCATTGCACATTGCCAAATCCAAATACTTTTTCTTCTTCAAGGGGAGTCATTTGGAGTAGTTTATTTTCCTGATAGAATGTCCATCAATCCATGAGCCTCTTTTGTTTCTGTGGGGGTTCTTCTTCTCTCAGCAGCATATGCTGTACTGATTTGTCTATTATAAGAGCAGGAGCAGGAGCACGAGCAACCCATTTAATATGTCATCCTCTTAATTGGCTTGGCATTAATTTACTTGACCCTCTTCAGCCCAAGTGAGAGAGGGCCACTAAGGCTGGAAGTCTGGAACATATAGAGACTTCTTAACGACATTTCCAGGAATTCCTCAGTCAGGCTGCCTACTCAATGGAACCCAACCCATCCAACCAAAAGATTAATAGCACGTTTGCCATTTCAGTAATTTGGATTTTGGGTTGGGTTTAAGTTGTCTTCTTCCCAGCCTGGTCCTCTTGGTCCCTGCATGAACCCTACCCACCCATTCCAATTTCTTTTCTGGTTTACAAAAGGATACAAGCCCACTCAACTTTTCGCAGGTCAGGGCCCACTTTTCTTTAATGAATTAGGCCCATGATGCCTCCAGGTTGACAGGTTTTTGCAAGCCCTACCATTGACAATGGTGTCTCTCAAGCTTTTATTCCCCCATTTGGTGGAAATCTTCAGATGCCGTCCATATATTTACACCAGCCTAATCCGCATACCAACATAATAAGTAACAACTCATAATGCGGCATCAACCATTTAAGCTGTGTTTGGATTGGCGTGGAAATGGAAATTCTCATAGCATACAAGGATTTCTAGTTTCCCGTCCCTTGTTTTTGGGGTTCAGTGATTGTCTATGAGATGGGGCCGAGTCACTGGTGGATCTATGTAGAAGCCAGCGTGGACAATTGCACCCACTGAGATTTGAAAATGTGCTCTCTTTTTCTCTCTCTCTCTCTCTCTATCTATCTATCTATATAATGAGGCCTTTTGTTTTCATGGTTCTAAAAGGCCTAAGCCAGAAGTGTGCTCCCATTGATCAAAGGTCCTAGATCCACCACTGGGCCGAGTGGAATCTATTGCCATTGGGGATTTGCTGTTTTGTTCTTAGTGGACGAGGAGGTGGACCTCAGTGTGAGTCATTTGTTTTTCGCTGATTCTGCGTGTGGATGGAATCGCTTTCACTCTTTGTGTTGCCCCAAATCCAAACACAGCCTTGGGTTATTTGAAAAAATGGGTTGTTCTACATATAATTTAGGCTGTGTTTGGACTGGGATGGAAATAAAAATGTAGGGCAGAAAAGAATTCCTAGTTTGCAATTTGATGTTTGGCTACAAAATAGCGCTAATAAGTAGATTCCAATGCTTCCAGGATGAGCTGATTTCCTCTGATTAGTGCAAAATGATTCTTCAGTCTTCAGACTCAAGGGATGCAACCCCAAGTCCTAAACCAAGGGATGCCCCATAATCTACAATGGGGCGCCACATACCTCTAACCTTGTGTTCTTCTTCTACTACTAATGCTACTGTTATTACAGTACTTCCACTAAACCTTCTTACTTTTTTCTGCTGTTTTGGACAACTAATTGGTCCTTGAGACGATCCTTATTGTCCTATATTGTTAAAGAATAAAAACTCATTTTTAGGGATCTCATTTAACAGTTTAAGTTTTTAAGTTGAACTGTTTATTGTGATAATATTAAAGAGTATTGATTGAATGATCACCATCCTTCTCGTCATCTCCATTATAATTGTTGAAAATCTAGTTACATAAATAAGAAGAGAAGCTCTGAGATGTATCTAAAAATGTTTACTTTAGAATGTTATTTGTCTTCTCTTAGATGATTAGATTTTTTATTGGATTGCAATTAAATTCATCTTTTAAGTGATTGAGATTAATCTCTAATAAGATCAAAACTTAACAATAATTAATTAAATTTTAGTACAAGATAAATAGACTTATACTTTATCCACACTCAACCCGATGGGTTTTGGCACGACTATGTGTTAAAGAATAAAAAACCTATACCTATTCAGGCCTCACCTGTCACCTAACAGCTTAATCTTTTATATAGTTTTAGGTTTGAACGTTTCATTGAGACGTGTCGTCCAGCGGTAGTTGGTTATGCCAACCTGAAGAGCACTCAAGAGTCAAGATGGGGGCCATTAGCTCAAGCGCCGACAAGGATGAAAATAGACAAGTGCTTGGGTGATTTTTTCTTGACGATAAGAGTCAAGTCAATACGATAATGAATGACTGAAAGGAAGGCAGACAGACACAGAACCACTTTCAGTAAAAAAAAATTGCCACATTAATTGGTGATGCGTGGACGTACATAATATATAATTGCAGGAAAAAAAAAACATAAATAGAAGAAGTAAACGCTTTATCAAAAGTTTTCGTCTCCATGATTCAGGAAGATACGGAGTTGCAGAGGCGAAGGCAAAGGAAAAACATTTTCCTTTGGACAGTGATGCAGCGCGATACTGGGCAACCCCTGGCCAGTGTTTGGCACTAAAGTTCATGGTACGATTCTGCTTTTCCAACTCCTCTGAAATATTTGCGGTGGGTAAGTGATCATCCATCCCCTAGCTACCAGCCATTAATTAATTATTGTACTGCAACTACATACGAATTATTCTGTGCAGTGAGTCTTTATTATCACCAGTCATCTTCTTCCATGGCGGTGGTACTAAGAAGGATTTACAGTGAAGATGATGGAGTAGTCATCAGGACCTCATCTTCACCAGCCAAGCGTGCCTGTAGGCTGGTTATCATGGTGGCTTTTTATCCTGTTCTTTTTCTTTTTTTGGGTTGGTTTGTTTGTTTGTTTCTTCTGTTCCAATGCAAATGCGGGGCCACCCACACATGCAGCCTCCATTTCAAATTCTGAGACTCATAGCACGGCAATGCCAGTAGGGATTTTTAAGTGGATTCGAGTCTGGTTATTTCAAATATCAAAAGGTGAGGAGGGGCATCTGTAGAGGGCCTTACTGATTCTTTTTCTTCTGTCTGTGTACCAATGCTTCCTAATTAATTCATCACTACAAATGACCAATCAGATTGGTTTTTCAAAATATATTTCACACACTTTCAGGAAGAAACCCTAGAAGCCATTAATAATTAATAAATTCTGGTCAGTACTGTACTGTTGAGAGAGAGAGAGAGACTCATAATGTGTTGTATTCCTCAAGTTCATCAGGCTTATTAAACCCCGGCATTACTTTTTTGGTAGAAACTTAATTATGAAACCTTCAAGTTCATCTTGGTTTAACTATTCTAACCTATTGATTGAAGATGTTATACTAGAAGCTTCAGTGTTCTTCATTCTTGTCTACCTGCAGAAATTCTTACTAGGAATCAATAATAAATGCAGCATTCTACTGTTTGTGTTTGTCTTCAGTTCAACTGCATATAGCACAGAGCTATAAGGGTACATGTCACAGAATCTATTTTGGGAAGAAACATTAATTAGATTAACTTGTGGGCCACTTCATTAATAAAGTAATGGGTACTATAATTGGTTCCTACAGTGCCTTAAGTTGCAACTTATTGCTGTTATTCATAGAGATGAATAGAGTTTTCTACACACATTGGCATTGAAAAAGGTGTGACTTCTTATCTCAGCATCTTCTCTTTTCCTAGGCTTACTTCAGACTCGTTAGAAGTTGCATGCAGAATCCAATGTGTTGAACTGTATGTTTGTATCTACATTTAATAGGCCGTGGCTCCCAAGGCATCAAAGTCACCACTTTAATTAATTAGTGAACAGCCTACAGAGCTGCACTATGCTTTGCTAAAACCAAAGTCTAGCTTTGCTAAAACCAAAGTCTAAGTAGTTATTTATTTGTTTAATTACTTTGGAGTTGCTTCTAACAATTATGTATATATGGAGCATTTGACTTGTAAAAGTAGAATTGCACTCACTACCCAAAGTTGACTTGAACTTATGATGGCACCTCCACATGGGATCAATGCTTGAAACAAGGGGAAGAATAGGGGTTTCAGTTAAAGATTCAAAATAGTGGCTCAGTTGGTAGGATCTCTGATATGCAAAGAAGGAATGATTTGCACAAATTAGATCAGAGATATGCATAGAATTAATGAATGAATTGTTAATTAAATTGGTGCGTTGTATCTATATCTTGAGAGTTGAGACCTACAAATGCCTGATGGGGTCTCCTTGGTTTTTTACATTAAAAACACAATAAGGTTCATATACATTCATTCCACCATAAATGGCCCTAATGGGGTGATGCAAAAGAGAAAATAAAACAATGTTAAATAAATAAATGCCTCTCTAATCTCTAGACTCTACCCTCCATCCACACATCATCATTATCAATGAATATGGGATCCAGCACAATAATTTTTTTTTTGGTATTTGGTGCCTTGCACCATTGATAATTTCCCCTTGACCCCTTTTTCCCCAAAAAGCTGGCTGTGAGATTCAATTCCTCATCAGCGCTGGAACAAACCAGCTAACACACCAACCAGTTACAATAAATATGTATATAGGAAAGTGAATTGAATGGCCGGCTTTTAGTTAAATTTGGAATAAACTCCCTTACATTATAGACTGGTCGAGATTTTTCTATATTTCGACCAGACTACTTTATTGACATTTTCTATTTAATTACCTAAGTTGGGTAAATGAATAAATTTCTTTTTGTTTAGCTTATTGGGATGGGTTTTGCTGCTTGTTCACCTCAGTATGTTGCTCCTCTACCTCAGCTCGGACTAGGGGTGAGCATGGGTTGGTTTAGTTTGGTTCCATGACAAAACCTAGAATCTACCTTGTAGGGGTCGGTTCCAAGTTTTTGGAACTAGAACCTACCCTGTGAAGGTTAGTTCTAGTCTTGGTGATTCCGGGGTCAGTTCTAGGGTCTACCCAAGGAACCTATTCTTTCTTTACTCCCCCTGTAAAAAAAGAAGCATGTTTTTTAAAAACTGCATTTTCAATAAATATAATATATAGTTCAAAACTTACATTATCTTTATTAATTAAATTGAGTAACTTAATATGTAGATTCATTATATGGATCAAAACTTATAATTTAAATTTAAATTTTATAAATATTAATTTTACATTACTTATTGTAAACATTCAAATATTAAAATGAAAATAAATGATCAAATAACTTAAGGATGTGTTTGGTTGCAATGCAAATAAATTTGTGTTGATGCAAAACCATAATAGTGCAAATGATTTCAATGTAAATTCTGACATATTTTTGTTTCAAATTTTAGCTTATTTTGTTTGATTGCAATACAAATGAAGTAAATTAAGATATGAAGCAGAATAAAATAAAACAAAATTAAACAAGAATTTGCATTTTTTACATTTGCACTCCTATGCATTTGTACTAGCGCAAATAAATTTACACTACAACCAAACACAGCCTAAAAAACTCAATGATCAAGTGAGACCATGGCCTTTATATCCAAGAGTGCTTAATCTTTACATCCCTAAAAGTATTTTGGGGTTTATTTCAAGGCAAATTCAATTCCAAGGCCAACTAAAATCAGTTCGGGTAAGAGAAACTCCTAGACCCTAGAACCGACATGGGTGGAAGTCGGTTCCAAGAATTCAAAACCAAATCCTACTCTATAATAGATTGGATAGGATTGATTCAAGACCAATTCAAAATCAATTCCATTCATTTCCAGGTAACCTACTTATTTGCTCCCCTAGCTCGAACAACATCAAGCTTCATTACAAACACAAACAATAGAAGGTCGCAGTCTCACATGCTCAACCGTTCCAACAGTCTTTCCATTATCATTTTTATTTTTCGTATTGTATGTAAGAAAAGAAAATGGATGAATTATCATCAGAACTATTTGACTGAAGGTGAAAACTATTGAATCACAAGTCCATGCTCTGAACTGGATTGTTTATTTTTTATGGGTTTGTCCTTTAATGAAAGTAGGAAGCAGGTTCCTTGATTTCCGAATGGCATGTCGGGGTTACAGTTTTACTATTACTTTAGCCCGAACTATTTTATTACATAAGACGATTAATAAATTATGATCATTTCCCACTAGGAGTTGATAGGTTTCGTTGGAGTAGAGACCTGGGATCAAATCCAACTGCAGGGTTTGAGGGTTAAGGAAAAGGGGATGGACTACCCCTGTTGTGTAGCTCATGAAGTGAAAAATTAAAATTGTGATCATGTCCTACGCTGAGTCGCCGACTCTCTCTATCTATAATCTATCCATCATCAATTCACCATGCATTCATCTACCGCGCCAGATAAACCAAAGGTCTAAAATTAACCGAAGTCCAACGACGCACGTATCCCGTACGTCCTAGTCGTTATTAAAATAAGGTCAAGTTTCATCGATATACTAATCTTTTTTTGGAAAGGAAAGATATACTAATTCATTTAAATAAATTTAATTAAAAAAATTCTTTAATAAATAGACAAACAATCATTTGATTTGATTATTGATGAAGGGTGATTTGGCATGATTTAGTAAGAAGGGGTCATGTGGACGCGATCTGCTCGAGGGGTGATAACTCAGCCAAAGGAACCCAGTCCGCAACAATCGGAGCTCGGGTATTTAGTCATCTCGGCCCAAAAACCACATCGGCGTAGAGATATTTCGACATCAAATCCAGTTCAGGACTAAGGAACTGAAGTACCAGTTCGGAGCTAAAGAGCCGAAATGCCACATAATCGACTCCAAAGGCCTCCCCAACGGACCCCAAATTTCTCGAGATCATGACGAGACTCATCCTAACTCCGCCTGAATCGGAGGAAAACGATAAACCTTATCAATTGACACATTGCTCTCCTTAAAAAATGGAATAGATCTTATCTGCATAGCCCGGAGATTCCGGAGCTTTTTCGTAAGGTCCACGACTACTCCACTATATAAGGACATCAAACCCCAAGGCAAAGGTACGCGTGATTATTTACTTACTAGCACTCAAGCATTCAAATATTCAGCTCGCATCCACAATATAGAACTAACTTAAGCATCGGAGCGACCATGCCAGGTTAGTCACCCCGGGTTCTCTGATCTATTATTTTTCAACTTGGTCCAGCTCGCCGCGCAACTGGAGTTCGGATCATTCCAGTTAGGAGTATCTAGATCACACTCCATCAATTATATTTGGTCATATTTGTCTTTTATAAAAAGAAATTTTAAGGAAATCTTTGAAATAAATAATCATGCCCATGCCCTTAAACATTTTTCACTAGTTTAGATGATCATTCTACTATTTTCAGATGATAAAAGAAATAATTATTAATGAAAAGTCTATTAAGTAAATAGGTTGCAAATTATAGGATGATTTAGTAAGATGAAAAAATAAATTTAAATTAAAAAAATACAATGCATTATTTAAAAATAAATTTATGATATAAAATATTTTAGATTATGAAATATGAGATCCATGTTAAAAAATTATATTTAAAATATAATATATATATATATATAGTCGAATCGTTCGATTTTGGTCGGTTTACAAATGACCAAAGTAAAATTGATCCAAAACCAATTAAAAATACTAGAAAACCGACCAACTCGGGTCGAGTTGGTCATATTGATTAATTTTATCAATTTGATAAAAACTCTAACTAAAATAAATTATTATTATTTTTGTATTAAAAAAAAATATTAAAAATAATATATAAAATATAATTAATTATCAATTATTTAAAAAATTAGAAATATAATATTATTATATACTCTTATAAGTTTCTTGCTTAACAAATTCCGTGTAACGCACAGGTTCCACTAATAAAACTATAAGAGGTGTTACATTAATACAATAACCCCTTAAAATAACTGCAAAAGTTCAGAAACCAACAACCATCATGAAATACCGGCCATCCGATCATCAAGTTGTAGTGTTCTACAAATAAATTCACGGTGATGATCAATTTCGTGAAGAATTTTCCTTAGCTGCAACAACAGTAGTAGCAAGGTCTCATCAAGTTGTAATATTCCCTTAAATCCTCGATTGGATTGGTGGAATGCTGGGTCCCTCTCTGTCTCTTCTATACTTGATTTCTACACCCTTGTTCCGTTCCAAACCAGACGAAAATTAAAAAAGAAAAAAAGAAAAAAATAGAATGGCATCAGATCCGAAGCAAACAGAAAGCACGATAAAAGTGAGGGGATTGGGGACCACACCTCCCCTTACCACGTGCACCCTTCCAATATTTTAATCGTAGTGCGCCGGTGGTCCTGCACTCCTGCTGACGTGGGTGTTTACTTCCTCTGCCCCCGCTGCTCCCACACACCCAAATCCTTTGGTTTGGAAATTTAAATTTTAAAGCGTGTCATTGTACACGTGGCATTAATTTTCTAAACTACGTCTTATCCACCTCAGCTGCTTCCCACCAAGTTCACTTTCGCTCCTCCCATCCTTCCGTCGAGGCTGGGACGCTTGCCTTCTTCATGGAACACGATGGATCAGGGACTCATGAAAGGGAGACCAGAGAGAGAAATTGAACTCGCTGCAGCTCCTTCCCAATTAATCACCCACTCTCACACCTGGTAAGACCGATCGGCTTTCCGATGAGTAACACGTGTCCAAGATCATATGCCTTCCGTGGTTTCCCACATTATACCACCAGTCAAAGGGGAATTTTCTAAGAAACCAAACAATAGAATTGTGGGAAGATGAAAGGAAGACAAAGTTTTTTGTTAAAAATAAAGACCAATTATTCGTAATTTAAATCATTACCATCCATACAATATGCAGATTTAATTTGTACTTATATTTCTTCTTTTTGGCTTTTATCCTTGACGGAGAAGGAAACTTACAACTACTTACTGACTGCACCAGTACCAGAGAAGGAAATAGAAGCGAAGAGACGCATTTTGAGGATAAAAAATGAAAAATGAAAATCTTATTCAAACCGTTCTTCGATGAACAGATTTGCAGAAGCTTCTCCGTATATCGTACAGACAATAGAGCTTCTTACAGAAATGGAGAGATAGAGAGAAATAGATGCTGTACAGAGACCTAAGTGGGTAAAAAAAGAAAAGAAAATTGAAAATTAATAAGACTGATAATAATAATAATAATAATAATAATAATAATAATAATTCTTAAAAAAAAAGCCCTTCTGCGTTTTGTTCTTCCATGGCTTTCTTTTTCCTGTTTCGTTTCCCTTGTTTTCATCTCATGGCTTTAAGCAAATCCACTCGTAACGACCCTCCAAAGGAACGTCCTTAACGATATCGTAATTATACCTGCATCAAGGAATTAGGGTTTTCGGTTAGCTAGAGAGATGGTTGAGTTGAGCGAGCACCCACAGTACGCATATGGTTTTCGTGGACTTACTTGTCCGCAAACCGTTTCTGTTCAAGTTTCTCTGATGCAGAGAAAAAATCGTCGATCTCCGCTTCTGTTGGCATGTTCTTCGCCATCGATCTCTGGCGGAAATTCGACTCCGATGGTCTCGCTGTGGACTCCAGATCGTCCGATTCGGCTTCGAGTTCGCTTGACGGAGTTGTCTCTCTCCTGAAAGTAAAAAAAAAAAAAAAAAAAAAACGAAAGGAGAAGACTAAGAGAAACGAATTATATAAAAGAATCGGAGACGGAGATATGGAGAACGGAAAGCAAATGATAGGCCGTTAAGAATCTCTCGCTTTCAATTTTCCATTAATTGAAGAAGCTTCATGGATGGAAAATAAATCTCAACGACACAAAAAAAAAAACCAATAAAAAATATAAACCTTTCTCTGCGGTCAAAATACGTCGAGTTTTCAATTTCGAAGAGCTCTCCCTGCAAAATCAAATTCGAAAAGTCAAAATTGAATTAGAAAATAAAACAACTAAAGCACGAGAAACGGAAATTCGATGAATGGATGGGTTGGGGAACAAACAAAGCCGAATTGAATTCCGTAAAGGTCTCAATTTCACCTCCAGATCTATGGATCTCAAGTTGTCCCTCAGGAGCTCGCTTGATCCGTTGCTCGAGCACCGCGAAGCAGGAACGTGATCGGAGCTAGCACTGGAGCAGCGATCAGCAGGGGTGACTGGGAGAGAATTCTCGGAGGTAGCAGGTGAAATTGGCATGTCTTGCGTAACCACGAGGCGGCGACGGCTCCGGAGCTGAAGATACGACGAGGAGAAGTGTAATTCTCCAGAAGCAACGACCTTCCTTCTTTTGGCCGTGCTGGCGCTCGCGGCAGCCATGGCTAGGGTTCGAGCTCTCGTCTTCACACCAACCTGAGCGTGAGCAACCTCCATTACTGCAACGTCGCCAATCCCTTTGCATTTCCTCATATACTTCCCCATGTCTTTCAGAAATCTCGAGCTCTCTCGCGCTCTTAATTCTTCGATGGAGAGGCGAGAGGCGAGAGACGAGAGGGTTTTTCAATTTCTTTCTTTTTTCCGTTTCTTGATGTCAGAGGAGCAGCTAGTTGTAAATCGCAAAAGGTGGGATTCCGTTGGACGGTTCGGATTTCTATAAGCTTCTCTACTGTGGTCCTATATCCGTTAACGGTGACGGGAGAACGGAACGGAATCCCTGACGGCGCCGTTACAAAGATCAAGGGCCGTTAAAGGATTAGGCCGATTCGTGGACGAATTCCGGTAAGCCACCTGGATGTTCGTAACCGGCAACCAGGTGAGGCCGGACGTAAGAAAAGAAGGTTGTTAAATGTCAGCGAGGGAATGGCGTGCGGGTCAGTTGCAACGGATTACTGCCCGCAACGTGCAGTTAGTTAATTGTCAGGAGCCCGTTTGGTAGGGAGCTGGTCTTGAGCGTAATAATTGTGTACGGTCACAAAATTACTGAAATAATCCTGGTTTTATCAGGAAATAACGAGATTGCCCTCGTTGCTCGTATCCCCTTCTATCTACGTTTGGAATGGGTGGAACGTGCATGGACTTGTTGCCCATATTTATTTCCATCTAAAGTGCACGCACGGCACAACAGCTAGAGGTGTAAAACGTCCCGTGCCGAGCCGGCACGGCAAGGACCGCCTGGGGCTCGCGCAAAGTGTGGGTCATACCATGGTATGACCGAACCCAATTTGGGGTTCGGTCTGACACAGTTTACGGCCCAAGCCCGTGTTGTGTCGAGCTAAGTCATAGGCTGGGCCGAACCAGTCCAAATTATTTTTTCTTACTATTTTTTTGTTCCTTTGCTAAGCAAAACTAAAATATTTAACTTTTCTTTGGGAAATATTTGAAAAAATAAGAAATTTAACAAATAAATGAAAAATACTCTTAACCAAATAAGAAGTCAAAGAGAGACTCAAAGTGAATAACAAATTGGAAGAAAAATAGAAATTTTATTTTATTTAAATTTGAAGATACAAAGCATACAATGGTTGGATGAATAAAATATGAGAATTGGAAAATGGAATAAATTAATAAAAATATAAAAAATATAATATAGTTGCAAATTGAAATGGTGTGATGAGAATGGTGGAGGATAGGGCTATTTATATGAAGTGAAAATAATTCAATTGCTTAAATTACCCTAAAAACTAGCAATTTTTTAGTTGTTGGGAGGAGTATTTTAGTTACTGTAAAGTTATTTATCATTTTACCCAAAATGCCCCCCAAATTAGCTATTATATAGCTATTGAGGGGCATTTGTGTCATTCTTTCTCCCCCAAAACCAAAATACATAAATACCCCCTATATAGTTGTTTATAGTTGTTGGAAGGGTATTTCTATAAAAAACCCCCCAAAAGCTGAAACTAGCCGTTGGGGATCCCCCAATAGCTAGTTCATCGGGCGGCTTGAGTGCGGCCCACTATAGGCCCGCAGGTTGTGTTGTGACATGTCATATTGGCCTATGGACCTGGAACCTTAGGCTCAAGTGCCCAGCACGACTTAGACCATCATGCCAAACCTAGCACAACCCGCATATCATCATGCCATGTAGTGTTGGGCCGCAAGCGGCACAACCCGATTTACACCTCTAAGTGGATTAGAAAAAGAGAGGAAAAATTTTCCACACTAAATCATTGTATACCTTAAAATTGTCATGTTCTGATCCAATGGATTTAGAAAAGGGTCTATCATCTACGAGGTGGAATTCTCGAAAACGGTCTAAGCCGCGGATTGTGGTCTAAACTCTATAACGACTTAAAATTGTCATGTTCTGATCCAAAGTGCAACGATGAGTTTTCTCTCTCTCTCTCTCTCTCTCAGATGCAAAGTTGCGAACTGATGAGGGATCTCTGTCAAAGTGCGACGGTGAGTTTTCTCTCTCTCTCTCTCTCTCTCTCTCTCTCTCTCTGATGCGAAGTTGTGAACTGATGAGGGATCTCTGTCAAAGTGCGACGGTGAGTTCCCTCTCTCTCTCTCAGATGCGAAGTTGCGAACTGATG